CTTTTGATTTGCTGGAACCTTCGCCTGGATTCTCCAACCATGGCGGTGTTTCCCTGAACATAGCCATATCATCTCAGAGAAGATTCAAAATGAGGGAACCCAACAACTGGGGCCAGCTTCCTCTTACTTGGCGAGCCTTTTCCACCAGCCATTTTTTTCAGTGTATTTTTGGGGGCCCATATCGGCGCGCAGCCCATGGATACTGCCAAGTGGCAGTGATCAAAACGACAGCTTCGCCGCGGGCGGGCAAAACGCCGGCACTTCCATACGTAGACACGCAGTTTTCACCGGATACCGGTCGGTTCAAGCACAACGCGTGAGCTTTTTTTTTTTGGTTGTTGTTAGCTGGTGTTCGGTTTTACGATCGATGAATTTGCTGACACCTGGTCTGTTTGTGTGGAGTCTAGCCGAAACATATGGTCAATATTCACAACGCCTGTTTTGGCCGCATCTACAGGTTGGTTCGGGACTTCTTTTACTGAAGACTTTTCGTCTGGACGGAGAGCCCAGGCCTTGTGGAAGTGCAAAACGTCGGGGAAAAAAACAAACGCATTCGAATTGGGGAGCGCCCCCCAGAATTGACATGCACACTACTTCAGCCTTTCTGGCAGGTCACTGGGACAGGAGCACTGGTTCAGCTCACGCACGAACCTGAAGCCAGAGAACCTTCTCTTCAGCCCTCTGGTGCGTACCCCTCCCGCCCACATGGAATGTGACAGGAGGCCCCTTGAAGAAGAATGTCTTTCGTGCCTTGACTTCCTCAGCCATGTCCTTCTGGGCAAGAGAGCTGCGCCAAAGCTACAAAGCAATGCTTTTTGGAACCCTCTCATCCCTATAATCCTGCTCGATCTTCGATCTTCAGTGACTCGTTTGAGCTGAGACACTCGAGGGCATACGCAATGACTGGCAAGCACGCCTCGAAGCATCAGACATCAAACGAACACCTTTGGGGGAAACATATTACTTTGCAGTCACATGAGTCATAATCAAACCTGGCATTAAAATGGTCTACCCAGAAGGATGCTTGAAGAATTCAAACAGCGGCTGGCTGCACCCACTTATGGCAAGGCGATTATCCCTAACCTTCATATTTACCCGAATCGGTTTCGAGCCAGTGACCAGTGGCGCACATGGGGAAACAGGGTATTCCTGAGGGCCCCCCCCCCCCTAAAAAATGGACACCCCCTTCCATACATTGCATGTGAACCGAGCTTTGAAAGGCTCAGCCACGCTTCATTTTCCTTGCTGAGTCATTCCAAACCCGGAGACAAACACAATGTCTGAACCAACTTGAGATTGGTTCAACATTGGGAACCACCCCAACACAAGCAGTCTACTTTTAAGCTTTTGGATTTCCTGTCAGACAAAAATATGGCAGACAACAATCGGCAAAGCTCCCTCAACAAAACACACAAATCAGCACATGGAAGTCGCGCTGTGCACGCAACCCAACTGCCCAACTGCAGCCCAGGTGCAGGATTCTTCTTGGCGATTGCTTGCTTGCATATGTCCTGCACGAAAGGACCGGTGCTCGAAAGGACCGGAATTGGTTGTGAAGGACAAGGGACAATCGACAAGTCCGCTGGCTTTTGCCGTGTGTTGCCCATCCAAACGGGGTGAAGGATGACAGGATATTTGGTGTGATCAACCTCACACCCACACAAACACAAGAACAAGAACAAGAACAGCACGCACAGAAATACAGAGAACAAAGACAAACACAAAACACACATACAGAGAACATATACCAGTCGAAGCGGTGTGGCGCAGCCCTCTGGCTGCGCTCAAGTTTGAGAGAGAATAGTCTGAGACTTTCATGAGCAAGCACAAATCGCACGGATCTCTGCTCGCCGTGTCCCAGGAACCTTTCTAGGGCTTCATTTCCCCCCCCTCCCTCGTGCGCGCCAACTTGTGATAGAGTGGGTGCACTGCGCCCGTGTTCTCCTCGAAGCCCCCGGGTGCCCCAGGAAAGCCCTTCAAGTTCTATTCCAAAAAAGCCCGCCATATGTTTTTCATCGGGTTTCCTTTCGCTTTCCCGAACCAACCAAGAACGGCTCCCCTCACACTTCAACACAAATGGGGGCTCAAACCAAGTGACCCAACTCAGATCCGACACAAATCGAGGTTTCCCCAAGTAAAACGGCAACCCGCTGCTTTTTTGGGGGTACCAACTCAAATCCGACACAAACCGAGGTGCCCCTCAACAAACTGCAACCCGAACTGGACACCTATTTTTTGGGGCTCAAATCAAACACAAATCGAGGTTTCCCCTTAACACAAACGGCAGCCGAACCAGACAACCCCCCCCCTCCCCCGAGATTTTTGTTCCTATGTCCAAAATTCCAAGTACAGTAACCAAAAAGCAGTGGTTGGTTGGACATCCCTCTCCTTTTGTTGGGGGTTGCGAACTTAAGCAATCGACACCTTCCTGAAACGTGTTCGCGTCAAGCATCGCCATCTTGACGTCGCTGGCCGCCACAAGTGTTCCTCGGGCCGGCCGGACTGTGCGGATTTGTCTGAGGTTTCGGAAGTGGTTCGCCCGGTAACCCAACCAAAAGAGGTTTCTCCCTCAGCAAAGAACAACAAAAAGACATGAATATGTGAAAAACACCTTGATCAACTTGCAAATGCAGGGGGGTCGAATTTAAGAGTGCAACCGGATCCAACAAAAACGAGGACGTGCTGTTTAAACCAACCCGGAAAAGGGCAATTACCCCGCTCTCTTCGTTTGGTGATTCCATGGCTCTAGGATTTCAAGTCAAGGTGCCAACTGGCTAAGCTTTCGAGTGCTGTCCGTACAATGTGGTTGTGGGATTTGTTCCATTCCTGTGAGTACTTTGCCACTTGGGGAATTGCAATTCTCCACAACCATGGATTTGTACACGTCATTTTTGTTTGATCAAACGGTCGCACCTCTTGCTTCCCCAGCATACCAAACTTGTGGTCGGCTTACTTGTTGATACTGGCATTGGTTTCAGTGTCTCTCTGCAACCACTGATTGGTTGAGACGGTGCTTAAAACAACAGGCTCCTACTGTGGATTGACGAATTCCTGCACCACTTTGAAACCATAGTTACAGAGGAGTCATCATTCCAGGGTTGCTGATGTGGAGCGAAATGAACGAAATGTGAGGTTCTGTGTGCACCCAAGGGCAACTCAAGGACTATCCTCTAACCCTTCGCTTA